CAGACACCAGCGGTAGGACCACAGCTCAGCACCAGGTAAGTTGCCATACCCCTATGACCTCCAGCAGCACCAGCCACCCCAACCCACCCCTTAGAGCAGCACCAGACACAAAGGTTCCCATGGGCCTCAGGGTAACTGTCAGCACAGCACTGGGTAAACAGCCAGGGCCTGCAGCACCTGGCACAAGAAGCCTGAGGCAGTCCCCCTTCCATCCCTGGAGCAGAGATCAAATTTAAAAGAAAGGAAAAAGACCAAAAAAGATGAGCAAAAAAAATACAACAACAAAATAATCTGACCATAGAAAGTTATTATGGTGACAGGGAAGATCAAGACACAAACTCAGAAGAGGACAACAATGTCAGCACACCTATGGGCAAAACCCTAAAGAAAAATGAGAAGTGCTCTCAAGCCCAGAAAGAACTCTTGAAACAGCTCAAAAAGGACCTTAAATATAGATACATATATATACACATATATACTATATACACAAATATACTATATATATACTATATACACATATATACTATATATACATATATACTATATACACATATATACTATATATACATATACATATATACTATATATGAGGTAGAATAAAAATTGGGAAAAGAAATGAATGATGAAAGAGAATTATAAAAAAGAGTCAACAGCTTGGAAAAAGAAAACAATCACTTAAAAAGTGGAAGTGGCCAAATGGAAAAGGAAATACAAAAATCCACTGAAGAAAACTATTCCTTAAAAAGTACAATTAGCTAACTGAGGAAAACAACTCCTTAAAAGTTAGAAGTGGGCAACTATGACTCTATGAGACAACAACAATTAAACAAATTCAAAAGAATGAAAAAATAGAAGAAAATGTAAAATATCCTTCTAACAACTCTGGGAAGTATGTGCTATTATCATTCCCATTTTACAGATAAGGAAACTGAGGCACAAAGAGGTTAAGTGACTTACCCAGGGTCACACAGTGACTGAGGCTGGATTTGAACTCAAGTCTAATAGCGCCTTCCTCCCAGAATGGTTGTGAGGATCAAATGAGATAATCGTAAAGCACTTAGTACAGTGCCTGACACAAAGTAAGTGCTATATAAAGATTAACCATTTTTATTATCTTCCTGACTCCAGGTCCAGTGCTTTATCCGTTGAGCCAACTAGCTGTTGAACCAAGGTCTTGTCAAGTCCAAGGCTGGTTCTCTATCTAATACACCACACAGCATCTTAGAAACACTTAGGATCCTAGATCTGGAGCTGGAAGGGGCCTCAAAAGCTAGGTGGCCCAATCCCCTCATTTTACATATAAGCAAATGAAGGTCACATGCGTAGTAAGCATCAGAAGCAGGATTTGAATCCAGGTCCTCTGACTTCACAGCAAATATACTTTCCCACTGTCCTATTCTGCCTCCTCTAATTGCCTCACTCTCTATTATCATTTCTGAGTCTATATAATCTCTTTATCCTTATAATTTGGGGCTTTTGTTGTTCATTCGTGTCTGACTCTGTGACCCTGTTTGAGGTTTTCTTGGAGAAATATTGGAGTGATTTGTCATTTCCTTCTCCAGCTCATTTTACAGATGAGAAACTGAGGCAAACAGGGTGAAGTGACTTGCCCAGGGTCATGTAGCTAGTAAGTGTCTGAGGCTGGACTTGACCTCAGGAAGATGAGTCTTCCTGACTCCAGGCCCAGCCTCTATCCACTGTGCCTATACCAATGAGAAAAAAAAAAAAAAAATCACCCTCTACCAGTGCATGTGGTCGCCTGCTCAGTACCACAGAGTCTTAAAGTGTAATAATGTAAATAAGCCCTGAGGCGTGGATGGTGTGGCAACATAGATGGGAAAAGGAAAGTGGCTGCCAGGAATGATTACCCAGAGATAGTTGTGGTGACAAGGGCCAAAGACAGGGACAGGTAATTAGGGCTTAAGTACAACAGATTTCCTTGGGAACCCAAGTTACTAAAGCTGGCTCAGTGATCCCAAAAGATGGTCAGGCATAGAATCTCAAGTCTAGGTTCAGGATTCAGAAAAGTTTAGTGAACACTCCAAGGTGAAAGTATCCAGGACCAAAGACAAAGTCTCCTGGCCCCAGTTCAGGGGGAGGAGCTGATGCCCTGGGAAGCTAACAGTGAAGACAGTGAATCAGTGAGGCTTACGGCCCAGAGCTGAATGTTTGAGCTCATTAAGTGCCTAGGAACTAGAGGGAAATGAGGCTTCATAGGGTTGTTGTAAAGAATAGTGCTTAATTAATTAGTTAATTAATTAATTCAACAGTCATTTATTAGTAGACAAGCCTGTCTATTACATGGCAGAATCCGAACTCACATTGCTGAAGGCCACCACTGAAGGGGAGGTCCACCACCTTTCAGGACCTCTCATCCTACTTCTGGATAGTTCTAATGGTCAGGAGCTTTTTCCTGACTTCAAGCAAGCCTAAATTCACTTCTTCTTACTGCCATTCTCCCCTCTAGGGGAGTCCAATCCCTCTTCCCACAAGACAGCTTTTCAAGTACCTGGAGTCGGGAACTGTTAGCTAGGCCCCCTTGGATCCTCTCTCCTCCACGCCAAATGTCCCTAGTTCCTTGGACCACTCTTCATATTAGCGGTAGAGTCTAAGTTCTTCTAGCCTTCCTGTGAACATTCAGCAGCTTTAAGCATTGTCCTTCCCAAAATATCCTGAAGAATGAACGTCATTCTCCAGATGTACTCTGACCAACAAGACTCTCACTTCCTTATTCCTGGAAGTGCTGCAATCCAAGATTGCATTAGGGGTTTTTAAAACTGTCCTAGGGGCAGCTAGGTGTCAAAGTGGATAGAGTTCAGGCCTTGAAGTCAGGAGGACCCGAGTTCAAATCTGGTCTCAGACACACACACAACACACAACAGGTATTAGCTGTGGGACCCTGGGCAAGTCACTTAACCCCAATTGCCTAGCAAAAAGCAAAAAATAAAACAAAAGCAAAAAAAAAAAAAACTGTCCCAACACACTGTCATCTCTCATTAAGTTAGCAATCCACTGAACCCGTCAGATAATTTTCATCCTATTTAACCATGCTTCTCCCAAACCCCTCTTGTGACGGGAAGGAATATGATTCCAAATTCAGTGCTATCTCCACCTACTGACACCTCCTATTAGGATCCACCTTATACCTATCACCTAGAATTCTATTCAGCAAGTGTTTGCATCTGCTAGGTGCCTAGCCCTATCCTAAGCCCTGAGGTAATTAAAAGAAAAACTCATCAAGCTAACCCTCTTCCAGCCTATCCAGTCTACCTACACCCTTGGTTTCCACCCCTTCTTTATTCCTCAGAAATCTGGCTCAACCATTTCTTTTTTGTTCATTTAAGCAAATATTCATCTAGATTAATTAAAGTAGATTAAACATTAATCTACTATAAGCCATGGCCCTATGCTGGGCCTTGAAGTGAAGATCTAAGGCAAGCCTTAAAGACAAAAAAAAAAAAGTCACAAAAAGGAAGCCTGAGTAGGTCAATCATAAAACCAAAGAATGTCTAAGCTAAAAGGGACCTTAGAGGTCCAGCCTGTAACCTAGTCCAGCCCCCTTATTTTATAACTGAGCCTGGGGGGAAAAGAAGTGACTTACCCCCACTCACACTGAGTTTAATGGGAACAGTTGGGATTAAAATTTCCCATCCCCACATCTAGGACTCTTTCTACTGCACTCTTTGTCTTAGAGATTGGATCAAAAGGGTGAATTTCAGGACTGATTATAACAAGAAGACTATGGAACAGAGAAAAGATCTTTTGTTACCTGTGAAACCAGACCACTTGGGTTCAAGCCACTTAAGGTCTCTGGACCAGTCTCCTCACTTGTTAAATGAGAGAGGGTGAGATAAATGACCCTGAGGTCCCTTCCAGACCTGTCTTCTCTTTAATCACAGCTCCTTCTTTGGTGGCCGTGGATAGAGAGCAGGACCCGGAGTCAGTAAGACCTACGTTCAAATCTAACCTCAGACATTAAGCTGTGTGACCCTGGTCAAGTCACTTAATTTCTGTCTCACCTTTTCCTCATCTGTAAAATAGGATAGAGCCTACCTCCCAGCATTGTGAGGACTGAGATATTTGTAAAGCATTTTGCAAACCACAAATACTAGGTATCACTACTCCGATGCTGTCTCCGTGAGTGATTGCTAGGCTTCCAAGGCCCTCAAACACTGGCCCTGCTGAATGCCTCATTGCCATAACCCCGGGGTCGCTCTGCCAAGAAATCACGTGGAGAACAGAGGGGTTGTGAAGCCACCTGCGGTCAGGTGCTAACCGTCTGGAAAGGGGTTCGGGTGTGCAGAAACAATCGCCCCCATCGCTTTCTGTGGAGTGCCTTTGGGGTCTGGGCTGGGGTTGGTGAGGGATGACCCAGGCGAACCTCCCTCTCCAAAAGCACGAACTAGACTTGGTGGCACAGGAGTCAGTCCCGGCGCCAGAGCAGGCTGCAAAGGTGTCCTGAAGACCCGTTAGCAGTCCGGGTGGGGTTCCAGTCAGCCACACGGTACCCCGCTATCCTGAGTGCCTGCGCCACTCTGCCACGCTTCCGGGGGTCACTGCCAGGTCTGCACTTCCCTTGCACCCTGGTACACCCGAATGCAAACTCGGCAAACGTCGGCAAAGCAGGACGGCTCCACTCAGCTGGAGGGGGGCAAGGGGAGAAGAGTACTAGGGGCGGGGAGACAGTGCCTGGCTCCGCCCTGCGACCCTCCGCCTCCGGGCGCAGCCGGCTGGAGCGCAAAGCAGAGCGGGGAAGGAATCCGGGAGACCGGGGTGCCCCGCCCCGCCTCCCGCAGCTCCGCCCCCGGGGTGCCTATTATCTCTCTCCCCTCTCCGGGGAGGTCGGCTTGGTACGGGCTGGGCCGGGGGTAGGAGGGGAGCCGCGGCAGCAGTGGCGCCCGAGCCGGGAGCTGGGCGCTCGGACTGCGCTCGTCGGCTCCTGCTCTGGGGGCGGTGGCGGCAGAGGCGGCTGCGCCTGGGAGCCCGAGGCAGCGGGGCTGCGAGGGGCTGGGGCAGCAGCCGCGGCCGGCGAGCCTCACCCGGAGGTGCCTAGCCTGGGGAGCCAGGATGAGGAAAAGCCGGGTGCAACGGATGGTGCTGGCCACATGTCTGGGCTCCCTGCTCCTAGTCATTTTCTACTTCCAGAGCGGCCCCAGCCCGGGTAAGTGAAAGCGAGCGGGCTCCCGTGGGGAGGGGGCGGCAGGGCTCCCGGGGCCGGTCCCGGTGGGGCCTGGGGGAGCGCCCTGAGGCCAGCCCCGGGAGGCTGCAGTCCAGATGACTCGGGGGTGAGGAGTACCCGTGCAGCTAACCTGTGACACCCTCCCCACCTCCCGCCCCGGAGCTGGCGGCTCTGCCCCAGGGCCCCGGCAGCTGGGCCACTCCACTCCCGCTGCTACCTCGCGCAGGGCTATCCCCTTTCAGTTGCGCCCAGTTACACCCGCGCCTGGACAGCCCCAAGTTCGAGGCGGGGGACGGGACAGGTCCGGACCGGGCGCACACGCGGGCTTTGGGGCAGGCAAAGCTTGGGTGCGCCGGTGCGTCTCAGGCAGATTCTGATCTCTTCGGTCCCTCTCCCTTAGGAGCTCCTTCCCCTCCTCTCCTCTCCAGGTCCGCCACCTTCCTTTCCAGGCAGAGGGTGCCACGGGAACTAACTTAGTTGAGTGGAAAGAGCGTTAAATTGTGAGTCAGAAGACTCACTTCTCTACCTACCTTTATGACCGTGGGCGAGTCCCTTCACTTCTCAGGGCTTTGGGGAGGTATAAAATGATGGAGGGAGGGTGTTGGTGCCGGCCAGTGAGCGCAATGCGGTTTCAACAATCAAGGATTCTTTGCGCATCCTAAGAGGATCCCAGGGACATCCAGGAGAGGCTAGAGAGAAAGTTGGAGGCCGGTGGTTGCCGAGCTGGCTCCTGTATTGACCGAGAGCTGCGGCTGAAGCCCCAGGCAGAATCCTTACTTTGGCGAAATAATGGCTTTGGGGGGCGCCCAGCTGACTAGGGGTGGAGGAAAGAAGTTGAGCCGCGTTCTTGCGTGTTTCAGAACCTGGAGGACTGGTACAAAGATACTTCATTCTCCAGCCTGAAACTTTATCTTAGTAGGCTATTGAGACCAGGGAGCTCTTAGCATTGACCACAGTGGATGTTTTGGGGCCAGTGGGTATGATATACAGGTGGGGAAGTTGGAAATCACCTCACAGCCAGGAGCAGAGTAGGAGAGAGGGTACTCTGAGGGGATCTGAGTTCTGCAGCTAACTAGTTGTGTGACCTTGTGCAGGTCACTTCCTTCTTCTTGTCTTAGTTTCTATGTAAAATTAGTGGATTGGACTAAATAACCTCTTTGGGTCTCTTCTAGCCTCTGCTAGATTCCATAATCACAAGGCAGGTTTCTAACTTTGGAGCTTGAGGCAATAGTTCCGGGAGAGGGAAAGAAAGGGAATACGAGCTTGGCTTGGGTTCAGAGATGACTGGGACCTTGGAGACCATCTAGGCCAACCTCCTTATCCTGCAGATGAGGAAACCCAGAGAGGGAAAGTGACCTGCACAAAGTCTATATATTCAAGCAAACAAGTACTGATTAACGCCTATGTGCCAGGGTCAGCTAGGTGTGGAAATGGATAGAGTATGGGGCCTGCAGTCAGGCATACTCATCTTCCTGAGTTCCAGTCTGGCCTCAGACACTTACTAGCCGAGAGACCCTGGGCAAGTCACTTCACCCTGTTTTCCTCAGTTTCCTCATCTGTAGAATGAGCTGGAGAAGGAAATGGCAAACTACTCCAGTATCTTTGCCAACAAAACCCCAATTAGGGTCATAAAGAGTCAGACAGGACTCAACAAAACAAAAACTATGTGCCAGGTAGCTTGTTAGTTGCTGGAGATACAAAAAGCAAAGTCTAGGCCTTTGAGGAAGAGGTCAAGAGAGACAATAAACACCTATATAGGTATATGAAAAACACACAGAGAGAACATGCAAGCAGCCTTGGGGGAGGAGGCATTGGCAGCTGGGGAGAGGTGGGTAGGGGGTGAGAAAAGTCTAGTACAGAGCGAGGTACTTGAGCTGCATCTTGAAGAAAGCAGAGTCCAAAGAGGAGGAGGAACCCTGTTATTTCAGGAGTCCCATTGGCAGGAGCCGAGAGGGTTTCACATTCCCCTCAGTGGGGGTGCTTTGCCCTATGTGTGTTCTGGCCTATTCTTCCATTTAAGGCTGGGGTGGTTTATAGGATAAGACACTTAGGGCTGGATCATTTCTTGCCCTGGATATGAAAAGAAAAGTGACTCTCCTCCTTCCCCTTTTCTGAAATCCAGTGTGTGGGACAGTCTCTAACAACTCGAGAATGTGGGAGCCTGCGGGGACCTCCGCTGGGCAGTGTGGTATTGGGAGAAGTGCTCTGCACTTGGCATCAGAAGCAAGGCCCAGAGTGTTCCATACCCAAATTAGCTTTGGAAAAAAACACCTTTAGTCACAGGAACCAAATTATCATGAAAGTAGCATAGATTTGAGAGCTGGAAGAGGCTATATCCTCCCCCCCACACACATATACACATACACAGTGTCATACACACACATTTTTGCTGATTAGAAGCTGAAGCCAAGACAGTAGACATACCTCTGATCACACTGTGAATTAGCAGCAGAGCCAGGCATTAGAACCAAGCTCCCCTGGTACCCCATCAGTTACTGGTTCCTTTCTACCACACTGCCCCACCTTTGGAGGATCGGCATCTGGATGGACAGATTCCGGTCTGTGTGGGGGTTAGTATTGTCCCTACTGATCGTTGTGTGACCCTGAACTAGTTACTTGAGAAAAAGAGCTAATGTTGATGTCATGCTTTAGGTTTGCCAACTATTTTACATATATTATCTCATTTGATCCCTTTGCTTGATAATCTGTCCATTTATTTCCTCATCTATATGTCAAGAGGTAGATGATTTCAGATGTTCTTTTCTATTTCTGGATTCTGTGGTACTTTTTATGAGAGGCTTTGTGGGGTGGTAGAAAGAGCACTAACTACCATGAGAGTTAGATTGGCCTGAGTTGTAGCTACTAACTGCATCACTCTGGAACACCAGTTAACCTCTCTGAGCCTCAGTTTCTTCATCCGTAAAATGAGGATAATGTCCCTTTGACGAGACTGATGTGAAATGAAGGTACTCCCCTTGGCACTTGGGAAGCTAAACTTAGTCTAACAACATTCCCATGGCAAAGTGATTTTCCTTTAGTACAAGTATGACCATGGTACTCCAGTGGCCCCCTATTGCCTCAAGGACAAAATATATACCCTGTTTGTTTTTCAGTCTTTCATGACTTGGCCCCATCTTGTCTTTTCAGCATCATTTTCTACTGTTCCTCTTTCTAAACTCTATAGTCCTGCCAAATTGGCCTTCTTTCTGCTCCTCACACATGATCCTCCATTTCCTACCTCCATGCCTTTGTACTTGCTGTCCCCCATGCCTGGAATGCCCTCCCTCCTTACCTCTGTCTCATAGGATCCCTCTTTTCCTTCAAGATGCAGTTCAGTCATCACCTTCTACAAGAAGCCTTTCCTGATCCCCCTGCAACTGCTGTCGCTCTCCCTGCCCCAAATTACTTTGCTTTTATTTTAAATTTATTCTGTATATATTTATACATCATGTAGTCAGCTAGACACAGGGTAAATTGGGGAGAAAAGAATTGGATTTGGACTCCAGCTCTGCTACTTAATAGTGGCAGAAGTGACCTTAGACAAGTCATTTCACTTTTCTAGATTTGGCTTTCGCTTTGGCTTCCTCTTTTGTAAATTGAGAGGATTAGATTAGCTGATTGATAAGGTTCCTCCTAGTTCTAGCACTAAGTAAGAGTAAGTGGATAGAGCTCTGAACCTGAAGTCAAGAAGACCCAAGTTCAGTTTCCTTTTAGAGATCAATTAGCTGTGTGACCTTGGGCAAATCACTTAACCCCTGTTTGTTTCAGTTTCTTCAACTGTAAAATGGGTATAATAAAAATAAAAACTTAAAAATACCTCCGAGGGTTGTTGTAAAGATCAAAAGAGATAATAATTATAAAAAATGCATAGCACAATGCCTGGCACGTAGTAAGCACTATATGCATTTTAGTTATTATTATTAGTCATGATGTCTCTCATGATTGAATGTAAACTCTTTGAGATTAGGGATTGTTTTAGTCTTTTGGACTTGTACGTAGTGCCTGACATAGTGCTTGAAATATAGTAGGTACTTAATAAATGCTTGGTGAATAATTGATTGAATGGTCTTGTCGTTGCTGGAATTCTTCTTTTGAGAATGGGCTCCAAGGGCGAAGAGGAAAAGCAGTTTATTAACAGTAAACCTCATTATTGACCTAAAGGGGATTCCCCAACTCATTTCCTTCTGTTAGTGACAAGACTCAGCCCTGAATGACTGGGGGCTGTTTCTAAAAGTCAGATCTGTCCCCAGAGGATGGATATCAGTCACCACTGAAGAGACAGCAGAAGGCGAGAGTCTGGACCTTCAGATTGAGTCAGGAGCATTTTTAGTGTGGTTTCCCAGAAGCCCGATTTCACCTGTCCTTTCTCTTTTGGCAGTTGGATCCACGGGGTAATGAATGAGTGGAGTATTCTTTAATACAACAGACTCATCCACATAGGCAGGCTGGACCTTGTCCAACGTGGAGGGTGGGCAGATTGTCTACGTAGTCCTCATTATTCCAAACGTCCTTCTTAGCATGTGTGTGTGTGTGTGTGTGTGTGTGTGTGTGTGTGTGTGTGTGTACACAACTGTCCTCACCAGGCTGGCTCATTCTTTTCTGTACATGTGACACAGAACATTTGGTCCAGCCTGGTTTCCTGAACCTTGGTTATCTCCAGTACAAACAGGTAGTGATTCCTAAAGGACCCTTCAGAGTTAGTCAGCACAGCTCAGGGCCAGTTATCATTATCCTCCGCTACATGCAAATGGTCTTGTGCTTATGCCTGTGAGAGGATGTCAGGAGGACACAGGGTAAATTGGGGAGAAAAGAATTGGATTTGGACTCCAGCTCTGCTACTTAATAGTAGCAGTAGTGACCTTAGACAAGTCATTTCACTTTTCTAGATTTGGCTTTGGCTTTGGCTTCCTCTTTTGTAAATTGAGAGGATTAGATTAGCTGATTGATAAGGTTCCTCCTAGTTCTAGTACTAAGTAAGAGAA